GAAGCTCGCCAACCCGGGACCCCCGGCCGACCCCACTCACCTGGGGATGGGCGGCGGTGGGCACGGGGCTGCGGCTGCGAGGCGACGGCTTGCTGAGCTCTTTCAGCGTTTCCCTCCCAGCCGGGCGCCACTCTGCGATAGCGGCTCCGCGGCGGCTCCACCGGAAACGGCCCGGCCGCAGCCAATCAGCGTTTGGCTGCTGACGTCAATGCGCCTCGCTCTGGCCAGGGCCGTCGCCTTGGCAACCTTAAAGGCTCAGAGCCGGGTTCCTCCCCCGCCGCTCTGAAGGACCCCCCTCCCACTTCCCCCTAGAATCGATTCCCTTCTGCTCTTCTTTCGGTCTTACCTCGTCCCTTAACTGTAGCCGTTTCCTCAAAACTGCCTCTTGTCTATTGCCTCACTCTCTCTAACCCTGGGCTTCCCTCCTCTGTTCACCTGCCTCCCCTTACCTGTTCCTTTCTGGATGCCTCAGGTCCCCTTTATTCTTCCTTCTGCTCTTCCTCTCTGCGTGGCTGTCTCCTCTCTCCTATCTTCGAGATCTCCCCACTCTCGCTCCTACTTCCCCCGCAGCCTCGGCCTTTTCTCCCTCCCTTCAACCCCCGCCCCCCACCCAGGCCGACCCACGTGGGGCGTCTCGGATGACAGGTGGGCGACTCCGCCCCGTGGCCCCTGCCGGAGGCGGACGCGGAGCCGGGGAGGGGAGATTCCTGCCGTTTCCAGGCCCCACAGGAGGAGGCGGCCCTCCGGCGGATCTGTGGCAGCTGCGCCGCCAGCCGAATGCGGGCAAATGCCGAGATGCGCACGCCCGGCCGCGCATCCTATGCTCGGCAAGCGCCGTGCGGGCCTCCAGGCTCCGGCCCGCCATCCGGTCCAGGAAATCTGAGCCCTGCCAAGCGTCTGTTTGGCAGATTGGGCTGCTCTCCTCTCCGGGGGTGCTGTCATCAATGGAGGCCACACCGTCCCTTTGGGCACAAAACGGTCCGGAGAGGACTGAGTCCTTCTAGAACCTGAAATGCCCCCTCCCCCCGATCCTCGCACCTGACCCTGTATGATGAGAAGTACAGATCGTGCAGATGATCACAAACCCTCTGTGACCATACAAGAAATCTCAACTGCCTGCAAAAACTGCAGTAATTGGGGATGATTTGGGGAGGACGGGCGAGAGACTTTTTTATTGGTTCAGCCTTTTTTTTCCACCGGAGTGTCGGTGGAAGAAGAGAGGGGATGCAGGGGACAGTTTCAGACATATAACGTCGCCGGATGAATAAAGACGCCCCTTGGAAGACAAGCCCCTTGTGTCTGGCTCGTACCTTTGTACTCTTGCGGTATATAGCTCAAGGGCTGTATGTGTAAAATACACAATGTGTTTAACACCTAATACGAAAAATATATACCGATATCTCGTTTATAATTTTTATATATATTCCAGGTAGAAACTAATCTTTTGGATATATTAGGTTAAATATTACTAAAATTAATTTTGCCTTTTTTTTTAATCTTTTTACTATAGCTATTAGAAAAATTTTAATTACCTATATGGCTCATGCTTATAGTATTTCTGTTGGACAGTCCTAGCCGGCCAACTGCTCCCCTTAATCCACCAGTATGATGAGGGTCCTGCTTATCATAGAATTTCTTTTACTTAGTTGTGGTTAACCCCTGCTTTCTTTTTTGTTTTGTTTTCGGTTTTTTTTTCCAGGGGGAGGGGAGGTAATTAGGTTTACTTATTTATTTGTAATGGAGGCACTGGGGATTGAACTCAGGCCCTCGTGCATGCTAAGCATACACTCCACCACTGAGCTATGCACCCCCTACACACACCCCATTATACCCTGCTGTCTGAAAATCAGGAAGCAGAGGCAACATCAGAAGGGCGGGATTAGGCCTATAAGAGGGAATGTAAGAGGGAAGCTGCTTCTCCCACCCATGCCTCCACCTGCTGACTGTTCCTTCGCCAGGGATGGGTGGAATGGGGATTAAAGACAGAGCCCCAGTCATATAGGATTTCACCCTTGTCCGTACAAAGAAAGGCTAAAAAACCGAATCCTAAGCTGGCAAGCAGCAGAGGGAATTCGATAGCACCAAGCAGGCCCAGTCGTGTTCTGAGAAGAAAACACTGCCGTCAGAAAAATCTGAGTTCGGTTTCAGGCTCTGCCATCACCAGTAATTGACTTAATCTCCATGAGCCTCAGTTTCCTCAATCAAGGATAAGCCGGGCTGTGTTAAAATTAACTAATAGAGATAATAACAGCACACAAATCTATAGCACTTCCTAGGTTCCTGGCACTGTTCTGAGTGCTTCATGCACGATAATTTAACCCTCATAATGGCTCTGTAGCATCGGTATTATGATTATCATTACTGCTTCAGAAGGAAAGTGAGGCATGGATCAGTTAAGTGACTAGTGTGACCAGGCAGTGAGCGTCATCACTCTCCTTCGCAGCTTATATAAAGACAGTACCAGCACTGGGTGTAAATAAATGATAATTTGCTTCCCTCTTCTCCTCCGCCTTCCTAATGAGCTCTGCACACTACCGGGTGAAGACCGAGTTATACTGTGGCCCACTATCAATGGTACCATCCTAAGATAGTCAAGACGCTTAGAATAAGGAAACAAGTAAGCTGGTGACACTGAGCCAGGTGCTTTGAGTGACAGCTGATACCGTGCTGAGGCCTGGGTGTGTGTCCCCATTCAGCTGCATTCAGGCGCCAGTCCAGCCACGGGCTGTTTCCTGTGTCAGTAGCGCTCAACCTTGTTCTAGCTGCCAAATCCTCATATGCTCGGGCTTTGAAAGACAAAAAAGGACATGGGCAGTAGATAGTTGAGCCTGCAGGGTGTTCACTGAGACAGCTGTTCTGAAAAGCCAAACAACCTCAATGCTTTCCAAATGGTGCCAACGCTCTTTCAGTGCCCCTGGGTGAGTAACACGTGTAAATTTCATTTCAGAGCCGACCACTGTTCCCCTCTGGTTTCTGCTTGGTTTCCCCTTCTCCAGAGGCCTTCTGCCCTGGATTCCAAGGTCTGCCAGTCTTTTTCTTTTTTTTTTTTTTTTTTTGGTCTATGTCCTTGAAAAGCTCGACAAAATGTGTTCCTGGGGTCATGGGGGTGTAAGTAAATTTTTCTTTTTATAACAAAATTACTTAATTGCTGTTACAATGTTTGTGAAACAATAGCAATTTTAAAAGTAAAATTAACAGCAGCTGGGCATTTACTAAGCAGAAGTAGAACTCAGAAAGCCAGTGCATAAAAGGAAAGAATATTTTGGCAGCCCATTTCTTAGTGTTCCTTATGTTTAAAGTTTCCATTGGCAAAGGTCAGATCCACATATTTCAGATTTCCAAGGAGAAATTTTCAGACTTTCACCACCTATTTGGGCTGAGTATATATGCTTCCTGTGGAACCCAAGGTTGTGGTTTCAAAAATAACCTAATTCCAGCAAGCATTCAAATGCCAAAAGTCTCTCACAAAGAATGGTTTCACTGCCCTAGAAATCCACTGCGTTCCTCCTGTTTATCCCTCCTTCCTTCTCCCAGTAACTGTCAACCACTGATCGTTTTACTCCCTCCATAGTTTTGCCTTTTCCAGAATGTCATGTAGCTGCAATCAAACTGTCTGTAGCCTTTTCAGACTGCCATATTTCACTTGGTGTTATGCGTTTAAGGATCTATATTTTTCACGACTTGATAGTTCATTTCTTTTTAGTGCTGAGTAATATTCTGTTGTCTGGATGTACCACAGCGTATTTATCCATTCACTCCTTTGAAGGGCGTCTTAGTTGCTTCCAAGTTTTGGCAATTATGAATAAAGCTGTCATAAACATTCATGTGCTGGTTTTTATGTGGACGTGTTTCCAACTCATGTGGGTAAATACCAAGGGGTATGATTGCTGGATCATATGGTAAGAATATGTTTACTTTGTAGGAAGCCTCCAAACTGCCTTCCAAAGCGGCTGTACCATTTTGCATTCCTATTGGCAGTGAATAACACTTCCTGTTGCGCCACATCCTCATCAGAATTTGGTGTTGTCAGTGTTTTGGATTTTAGGCATTCTATTGGGTACGTATGTAGGGGCGTCTCATTGCTGTTTTAATTTGCAATTTCCTAATAGCATACGATATTGAGCATCATTCTGTATGTTTATTTGCCATTTGTATATCTTCTTTGATGAGGTGTCTGTTAAGATCCTTTGCCCATTTTTAAATTGTGTTGTTTGTTTTCTTATTGTTGAGTTTTAAGAGTTCTTTGTAGATTTTTGGATAAAGTTCATGTAATTTTGGTATGTCCCATTCTTTTGATTTATTTCAACAATCAAAAAATGTAAAAATTACTTGTCACTTGTGAGCTGTACAAAAACATACAGTGTGCCAGACTCAACCCACAGGCCACAGTTTTCCAACCCTTGCCTTAGAAGTTTGGGTTTTCTTCTTAGAGCCATTGGGGAAATCATCCAATGGTCACATGCAGGGAAGAGATGTCATCAAGTACACACTTTATCACTCTGCCTCTAATGAAGCAACAACAGGTGTAGGAAGCATAGGGGAGCCTGGACCGAGGACACTTGTTGGAGTCTGTGTAGAACTAAGGGCTTTGAACTCATCAGCTGATTAATTACAAAGCCACGGAGTGAATGAAATCCCTCCTGGTAGAGGGTGTTGAGAGAGAAGAAAAGGGAAAAAAGAAGACGGCATGAGGCAGGCCAAGAACAGAGGATAAAGGAAAGAAGGGGACCCAAGGGGGAACATTTGAAAGCAGGCAGCAAACCAGGAGAGGATGGGGGTTGCAGAAGCCAAAGGGAGCAAGTGTTTTGAGAAGGAGGCAGATGCTGCAGAGAGATGGAATAAGAAATGAAGAGTCAGGGCAATCTGAACAGGTGGGATCCGGGAAACCAAGATGACCTTCTGATCTGCCATCAAGGGGGAAACAATGCGCAGAGTTATTTCTCCATGTGGCCTCATTTGCATGACCAGCCAGCAAGAGATCAGACAATTCCATTGTCACAAGTGTTCTATTGGACAGCACAGGTCTAGAGCAAGGATTGGCTTTTTTTTTTTTCTGTAAAGTGTCAGACTGTAATTATTCTAGACTTTGCAGTCACATCGTCTCTGTTGCAACTACTCAGTTCTGCCACTGTAGCATCAAAACTGTTACAGATGATGCATAGATGAATGGAGAGGGCTTTGTTCCGTAAAACTTTATTTATGGATACTTAAAGTTGAATCTATGATTTTCACACTTCACAAAATATTCTTCAGGTTTTTCCAACCACTTAAAAATGAGGAAATCATCCTTAGCTTGTAAGCTGCACACAAAACAGAGGACCAGAGTTTGCTGATCTTCTTCTTAGTCTCCTGGAGTTCCAGCTATCTACTGCCATACAACAAATTAGCCCAACACTTAGAGCAACGATCATTGTATAATATCTTATGATTCTGTGGACCAGGAATTTTGGCAGAACTCAGTGGGGTGATTCTTCTGCTCCTTGTGGTATCCACTGAGGGCACTGGGTGGTATTCAGCCGG